AGATTTCTTGTTGTAAACAAGATATACGGCTATTCAATGAAATTTACAATACGACCGACACGAAGAAAGACAAACAAGCAATTTTTATTCAAATGTTTGGTTGAAATGTTTCAACCAACAAAGGAAGTGAGGGGTTCCAAATCAACCAAAGGCTACGAATGAGTCGGAAATGACAATGAAGTTGTGAGTGACGGTCGACACATGGAGACATACAGGCCACACCCAGCAGGCAGGTTGCTGTTGGGTCTTGAAAAAAGTATTCAGTATATCAGTTCGGCGAAACAGACATTCCGGTCAGATATGGGATTCACATGCAACCCCCCAAAAAATAATTACGCCCGTTTTTTATTCATCATGTTCATTTAATGCTAAATAATTTTGTTGAAAATACTTTTTTCTAATAGCAAAAAAGTGGACAAGATTATTGTTTTCAATCCAGATACGGCCAGAATTTTTGTTTAAGGCAAAAATCAGGGTCAGAATTTTTTCTCTAAAATATCTCAGACTGCCCCCTCAAATCAAATCGTCCGTACCTTAGACTTTAAATTTATATCTAGAGCTTACTGACTGGGGATCACTATTCAGCAATGTTATTAATGGGCTGGGGCGTGCTCAATACTTTGTCGCTTTGAAGGCGTCATGCTTGTCATCCTCAGCCTAAGCAATGTGTTACTGTAATTTGAATTTCAAAATGACTGAGTGACGTTTTTTTTCGACGTACTGGTCAACTCCACCGTAGCGAATCACATGACTTTGACATAATCAATAATATATTACAGTAAATACGGGCGAAAAATATCTTTATAAGTAAAGAATTGTCGCATAAAAATTAAATACACGGGAAATGGCAAAGTTCGCGAAGTCTAGTCTGATTAATCATTTTACAAAAAAAAAAAAAAAAAAATAGTGCGCCCTCTACGCCCCCCTCTGGATCCGCCACTGATATTGAGGTAAATGGGTATGACTTGATACTGTGTGAATTTGTATGATATGGCACTGAAGTAAGTGCTTGGCATGATATTGAGGTAAATGATTATGACTTGATACTGTGTGAATTTGTATGATATGGCACTGAAGTAAGTGCTTGGCTTGATATTGAGGTAAATGGGTACGACTTGATACTGTGTGAATTTGTATGATATGACACTGAAGTAAATGAGCTTGGAATTATTTTGGGGTAAATGTGTATGACTTGATACTGTGTGAATTTGTATGATACGACACTGAAGTAAATGTGCTTGGCATGCTATTGAGGTAAATGGGTATGACTTGATACTGTGTGAATTTGTACGACACGACAATGAAGTAAATGTGCTTGGCATGATATTGAGGTAAATGGGTATGACTTGATACTGTGTGAATTTGTATGATATGCCACTGAAGTAAATATGCTTGGCATGATATTGAGGTAAATGGGTATGACTTGATACTCAGATCAATGTGTATCACATGATGCTGAAGTGATCTTGATGATATGTTACTGAGGTAAATGTGCGTAATATAAGATTATATTAGATATGTGTATAACATGATTCTGAGGTTAATGTGTATGACCTGAAGCTGAAGGTAATGTATATGACCTGATAGAGATGAATGTGTATGATATGTTACTGAAGTAAATTATGACATGATACTGAGGAAAATTTATTTGACATTAAAAAGGGAAAATGTCTACGAAATGTTTATGATGTAATTGTGAATAACATATTACCGAGATAATTGTGTATGATACGATACTGAGGTAATTGTAAGTAATAAAATAAGGTAAATGTTTGTGATATGATAGTGAGGTAAATGTGAGTAATAAAATACTAAGGTATTAAATGTGTGTAAATTTGTATGACACGATAGTGAGGTAAATGTGTGAAAATTTGTATGATATGATAGTGAGATAAATTTGTTTAATTTAATAGTCCAAGTAAATGTCTATGAAGTGATTCTGATGTAATTGTGTATAACATGATGCTAAAGTAAATGAGTATGAAGTGATTCTGATGTAATTGTGCATAGCATGATACCTAAGTAAATGAGTATGAAGTGATTCTGATGTAATTGTGTATAACATGATGCTAAAGTAAATGAGTATGAAGTGATTCTGATGTAATTGTGTATAACATGATGCTAAAGTAAATGTGTATGACAGAGAAGTATGGACATTTTATTTTCAATTTGTTATATAAAGAATAAGATGTAAGCAAGTCCTTTTTCTACATTGATTTCAGCTTTAGAGTATTTCAAAAACATAATTACTTATTCCTGTCTTAAGTGTTAAGAATCAAGAGAATCATGACATTAAACACGGATTTTTTTTTTATTTTGACGATCGGTCAATAATGCGGAAGTTATCACCTACTATGTTTTAATTAAAAAATAAAGCTTCAAGCTTTATAACGAACTTGTTTAAGAAATGTTAATATGTGGACTAATTGCTGGGTATTTTTGTAATGCTTAATGCTACTCTAGATCTCATACGCAATACGACTGGCTGCTCATTACAGAGATTGATAAACTTCAAACCCCTACAGACCTGCCTGTAGCATTACTGTTTGCATCAGAAGCTAATGGTTGACTAGGACTGTTGCAATATCGATAACAAATTAAGATAGAGATTAGATAATATAATATATTCATTGACAATATATACTATATTATCTAATCTCTATCTTAATTTCTTATCGATATTGCAACAGTCCTAGTCAACCATTAGCTTCTGATGCAAACACTAATGCTACAGGCAGGTCTGTTGGGGTTTGAAGTTTATCAATCTGTGTAATGAGCAGCCAGTCTTATTGCGTATGAGATCTAAATTAGCATTAAGCATTACAAAAATACCTAGCAATTAGTCCACATATTAACATTTCTTAAACAAGTTCGTTATAAAATGACTATCATAACATAAAATATGATTCTTTTACTCTTGATATTTATTCATCACTGACTTTTATGTCTCTCTTGGGACATTTGTGCAGTGTACAACCTACCACGAGTGTAAACATCGTCATTAATTTTGACAAGAGTTCCTGGACAAATTACTTTAATTGACGAGTTATTAAACAAATTGTGTAATTTTGTTGTTTGTCTAGCCACATCGATACACCATTAATCAACCGAAAAATTATCCATAAAAATGTGACGTCATTTAGATCTTCAACAGTTTTGGTTTTGTTTACTACTTTTTTATATAAACATAAACATAAACATATGAAACACTGCTTCGTACGTCAATATATATTATGTAATCTGGTGCTCTACTTAAAAAGTTTTATTACTCATTTATTGAATTTTGTTCTTTAGCTACTTATAAAATATACAAAATGGTTTGTAGTGGCAAAAGAAATTGCCAGATAGGTTCAAATTTCAAAGATCTTGAGATATCAGTGACCTAATTGAAAGAAAACATGACAAATGTGTTCTTTTAAATGTATTTTTTATATATAAGGAAGTATTTACTTTCGAAATTTGATACCAAGTCGGGTAGTATCATTTTGTGACTTCACTCACAGCACTTCTTGTTTTATCTGAAGCAAGTACTCTCCGGCAATGAAAGAAGGAGTAGTTGAGTCAGGCTCCTGGAAACCTCTGGTTATTTAACGTTATTGTGTCACGATGGCGAATGCCTTTAAATACAATAGAATTAAAATCATCATGGAGACTCTCACAGCAAATGTATCAAATATAATATACACAGAGTAAACTTCAGTGCCTACAGGATTTTCCACAACTTTATTTAGTGTTCTAAGCCTTGTTATTCATTCCAGGTTTTACCATCCTACTCATAGGCAGTAAGTAATTCAGGACTTATCTGAGAGAATCCCTTATACAAGTAATATGAATGAAATGTAGGTTCCATTTATTACATCCCTGAAAAGGTTTACTTTTTTTTTTTAGCTTTGTCATCTTCCTCTGTCAAAGAGAATATTTTGATGGGTTCAAATGGTTGCCTTGGTCAATGAAATCTGTAACAACTATCCTACAGATTGAACAAAGGTTTTCCTGAAATAGACTGCAGTAATCAACTTACTGATATATTTAATGAGCATAATAGTTGTTCAAAGGATTTTCCAATGAAGAATCTCTTAAGCAATTGAAATAACTTGTTATTTCCTGTGAAAACTCATCAAAGATTCCACGCTTATAATTTGGTATACCAGATAAAATTGAGAATGGAAATGGGGAATGTGTCAAAGAGACAACAACCCGACCATAGAACAGACATAGATGCACATTTAGTTTACATAAGAATCATCAGTATAACTGGAGTTAAAACAAGACTAAATCAAATACGAAGTTGAAAAGTACTTATAAATGTCATGAAGGATTTTTCCTGTGATAACCTTTCTAAAGCACTATAAATAGTATCTGTGATTTACATGTGACTGCAAAAGTAATATAAATGGAATGTGGGATTTACTATTTCATTGCTTCCAATGTAGTATGTTATTGGATATACTGCAGATGACAAATATTTAAAAGCATTGTTTTTTTGGAAAGGAGTCCATAAATGAATAATAGAAGAATGTGTCTGAGGACAGGAATGCCCCCTCTCAAGCTTTGCAACAAAAATTGGACGGATGGAAGGACAGAAAGAAGGAAGGTCAAGGGTAACACTTAATGCCCCTGTTGCCTATGACAGGGGCATAAAAAGATATACATATGTTATCATCAGTATTCATTTAAAGTCCAAATTAAGACAAAACTTATTGTATTTGTTTTTTTTATTCAAAGAGCATAGTAATACATGTTTTCATAAAGTATTGTTCATTTACAAATCACCGATTCCATAGTTTTACACACTTTTAACATTCAATATAAAAGTATTTACAACTTGATTCCATAACAATTAATTATGATTGTGACTGTTCTTATTGCTGATTATATGAAAGCTACAAAATAAAATGTACTACCATGATTTTTGGAAAACATACATAAAACAAATGCACTTTGCAATTAAAATGCCTATAATTTTGAAGAAAACTCCTAGATTCAAGGAGAACACAACATTAAAATATGCCCTTTATTGATATTTATACTTCAAACTAAAACCAAAACAATAACAATACACCTCACAGCTGGTCTGATGTTACCAGACAATATCTGTCTGGTTGTTAAATGCTGTCAATAAAAATATTTGGAAAGACAACGACCAGTTTACTGCATTTGGTTTAAATAAAGGAATTACAGTTCTCAGTGAGAATTGGAATGCAATATTGATACTATCACAGAAAAATATTATTAATTAACAGATTATTTCTATAAGTACCATATATAGACTTTCTTTGAAGATGCAAATGGAACAGAATCAAATCATTTTTGAATTTTTACATTTGAAAAGATTTTCATGCATTTGCGCATCTATTTCAATAGAATCAAATGTCAATCGTCTTAAAGGCACCTTCGGACTAACTAATTTTACTGCTGATCGATGTCTTTGTATTGAAAGAATTTTGATATGCATTTTCAACAGTTAATAATCAAAATAATCTCGTAATAATACTATTAGAAATAAAATTCTGTAAATGCTTACACAATATACATAAGATAAATATATAAAATTGTCTTGTTCTTCGTCTTGTAGGTGAATCATTCTTAAATCTATTGAAACTTCAACAGATGGCATACATTTCATTTACTGATCAATAGAGAAAATAGTTTTATAAAAAATGTAGAAATCATCCTTGTAGGAACAACACTTGACATTATATGAAAACATTTACTAAGTCATCTTTAAAATAAAGAGTCCGGACATCATCTTCTGATTATAACAATCATTATACAAAAGGATATAAACACAAATATATAGAAAAGCATTAATTTGTGTAAAAATATAAACAATAAACAACTTGATCCAGGAACTTTGGTACTAATAAATACGTAAATCTGAAAACAACCTTATTTTTCATAAAAACACAGCATAAACTTGAGATTAAACACCGTTTATGTCTTAGATAATATTTTAAGCAAATGCCTAGTAACAGTTTAAAAAAAATACTGTTCAAAATGCTTGTAATTTACCATGAAACGTTTTCAATTATTGGCACAACTGCAGTGAGTCTTTGTATATTTTCAATTTAAAGGAAATAATAACATTTGAATTGCACCTATTAAGCATGCCCAACATAAACACATACACACTAGTAGATCTAAACACACAAGGTGAGGAATATGTGAATCACAAGGTTTTTTTTTGGGAATAAAGCAGAATTAATATAACGTGTGTATATATAAAACTCTATATCTTTAATATTATATACACTCTATAGTTAACTGTTAATATATCTATATACAATGTATCACATTTTACTCTGGACAAATAACCTCTATACTAAAAGGCAATAAACTGGCACATCATATACCCATGAAAATGAAAGTACAGCAATGTGGTCACATGATATCATTATATCCATACAAGGAAGAGAAATACAAACATGTGGAAAGAATATACATTGCAGGATGGCCATTCTATTTTAGTAGACTCCAATGCTAGTTACAATGTTAAATCATATATTAAATTAGTAAGCTGTTACATCAGTTAAAGCCAAATATTCTCCAATTGTTAAAATAGTAATAATTTTAAAAGTATGCAGAATTCCCCAAAATTTGATTAACATAGCTAAATTTTCGTTGTCCATAGTGTATTTGCATCATTGAAAGAATACTTATACATTCTTAGTAAAATCATTATTAGAAGTTTCTATAAAAAAATAAATGACAATTAAATTATAAAATTCAATAGTAGCACTATTCTTTTATGAATTAATTGTTACCATGTGCTCAGCTGCTTATCTCAAAAGATCTTTTACAAATAACCTTCCATCAATTTTATTGTCAATAATTTCAAGTTTATGAAAAACAGAGCCCTTGCAAATATTTCATGGTCCTTAGAAAACCTGTTGGTCTTAGAAAATCATACAGTACACACCTAAATTAAGGGGACTAAATAATGAGAGATTACACTTCCCAAGATGACATTTCAACTTTAGTTAGATTGCATAATGACCAAAATAGAGCTCAAAACTTGCATTTTTATTTATACTGTAAATAATATTAACTCAAAACTACATGTATAAATATTCTGATCTACATTTCACAATTAATTTTCAATTTATGCCAATATAAAAAAAAACAACTCAAATTTCATGACAATGTAATTTTCCAAATGAAAATATCTAAGTGGCAATAAACTTTTGAAGCTCCTTAAATTGATAGCTTTATTGCCAGGAGAAAGATTATTACAATGCTCTAGTTCTAACCAAAAATTAAATGTTATCTCAACTAAGCAACAGGTATAGTAGACATTTTAATCAGTTGTTTCTATTGATTTTTGTTATCACAAATTTAAAGAGCAATAATATCTGGGTTGTAATACAAATATTTCATATCTTAATACTTTTAAGGTATGTATTGATAAAAATAATTCCACATCCAAGCAAAGTATTGATACCATATCGTCAATAATTTTTAAAACATTAAGGGCTATTTTGAACTTCATTTCTATATGAAAATTCAATTCATTCTTTCTTTAACTTTTATGTATTTCCATCAGTCAACCTGTGAAATTCTGTGCATCCATTTAACAAAATTTTGGAACTTCACTAAAATTTATCCACTTTCAGGGTTCTCTATAATACTGACAATCAGGATAATTTATTTCTGTTTTTATGTAGTGTCGTTGACAATTTTAACACTCAGCTGCCACAAGAATTCTTTGGACAATAAAAACATAACAATAGCCGTTTTGAACATGGAACTGTACAGTTAGGAAGGCATATCTTTTAAGACCTAGAAGAAACAGATGTAACAGTTTGGAGAAAAGCAGAGTTGATTATGAAACAGGAGCTTTAGTTGGAATATATTTCTGTTAATGTTATCTGGAAAATCACATTTATACCACAATAATCCCATATATATAATGTATAAAAATATAATAGAATAAAAATATCATTTTTCTTAAATGAACAACTGACAAAAATGACTGAGACAATGTTATTATCACAAAATACATGAATTTTTCCAATTACTATCTTAATAATAAGTCACCTAAATCTTAATTAATTTCATTGACCAAAAGAATGTCAAATTTTAGTGAGACTATTCTTCAACTGTAAAACTGTTCTCAAACATTAATAATGTTGAGCTCTTAATTGTAGTCTCTTATTGTTTTGATTCTGTACATGAAAACATTTCCATCTAGAAATTCAATCATGACATTCTAAGATTTTTTTTAAAATTCAACAAATCTCCATGAAAAGATACAACCCTCAAATAAAAAATAGTGTTTTTCTCAAAAGTTAGTGTATCAATGGAATGAAAATGAAGAGATTTGATAAACAATGCCAGTTTTCTTCTTGAGCAAACACAATATAACAATTAAACAATTAGCACTAAATTAATTATTGTAAATTATAATAAGCAAGTTGTGGAAATTAAAGGCTGTGTTTTTCCTATCTTGAAAAGATCAAGCATGCATTATTTGATGAGATGCCAATAAGTTACATACATACACGTAAATATTTTATTTCTATAATATCTGACTCAATTCACAACCGCTTTATGAATTAGAAAAAATATCGTCCTCAAAACAATATATGTGACAAGAGTAAAACTGAATACTTTGGTAGTACAAAAAATTCAAAGAATGCATTTTTTTTTTTATAGAAACCACTATGAAAACAATATTTCCTGAGTCTAAACATTTAAGAATTCTTACAGATTTTCACATTTGATTTCATACTATCAAGTTTTAGAATGCTCTTTTAAATAACAAATAATAGTTGCCCAAAATATTGTGTAATGAATTGTATAATTTTTTGTAAATTAACAGATTATTCATGCCAAATCATTTTTTTAACATTCAGAATACACATTTTTTCAACAATTACATGTACATCCCCATTCTAGACTTCCAAGCTCCTGGTCTTGAATAATATACATGTATATGAAACATACAAGTATGTCAATGGGAATGAAATAACAATAGCTCTACTTTGTAGAGTCTAGTTGATTATAAAATGTCAATCATACAGCACAATTTACATTCTCTCTGTAATAAATCATCTTCTAGACTATTTAATTATCTTTAGATCACCTGGAACAGAACGGAATGTTTGTCAGGACTGAATACTTGATTGTAAACCATCACTAACTTGCATTGGAACTCACATATATATTAATTGGATATATATTTGATTATTGAATAATTTGTTTTTTCACAGCTTATTAAATTCATCATATTTCCTTCTAAAGTCAGTATTTTCTTTCCTAGGATCTTTCTTTTTCTTGGAAGCCACTAATTCTCTCATTTCTTTTGCTGATAATTTTGTAAAGTCGACTCCGCCATTACTAGATGTTGGTGGTGGCCTGGATACGGGTTCTTGCTTGGGTGGTACATAGCCTGTTTGGTATGATGAATTGGAGACAGGTGAAGCCTGGAAAAGAGAGTTAAAGCAGGAGTTATTACAAGTATATACTTCAGGTTTCCTGGCCTAATCTTCTTGGGACTGATGTTAAAAGCATGTCAATATTATCAATCACAATGGTTCATCATGCAATACCCTGTCCAAAGAAAAGAATCAGATCTTTCGTTTCTTCTATTTTGCATTATGTCACATGTAATTGTGTTACTGGTCAAGGTTTTTAGTCATTTTCTCTTTTTTTCTCTTAAAATTCTTGTCTTTATGACCTTTTTGAGGCTCAGAAGTTGAATGTCTGATCCTATCAAATAAGCCAATATACCCTATTGGCAGTCAAGGTAAAGATATATGGCTTTATTTTTTTTTAATGTTAATGACTAAAGGATGATTAAATCTTATTGATTTTTAACAATATAAATATTTAATTTCCAATTTCGGTGAAGGTCCTGATAAATGTATATTGAAATAATCAGTGCTATCTCTTGGCCCACACTCATTGCAGATCCTATGAACTTCTTCATTGTTTACTTAGTCTTAAACTGATTAAATATGAAATATTTGCCACTGGGAGTTATGCAACCAATAAGCAATCAATCCATCAAGAATTGTTAGGCCTAAATTAATATATTGTTTGTTTCCCCAATCCCGACCCTGCCAAGCAGGTGTGGGTAGGTAGGTAGGGAAATAATTTTATTTTTCCAAAAAGCTTGAACATTATCGGATGATCAGGCAAGCCTGAAAATCGGAAATGAATAAAATAATATTTGACTAAGTTTTGACAATAAAATTTTATGAGTAGGACCATTTTTGCAGGGTCGGTCGGGATTGGGGAAACAAACAATATTTTATTTTAGGCCTTATCAACTCTTTCAAAGTCACAACTTTTACAAACTGTCATCCTATATAAATTTAACCATGAATACAAATTTTAAATTTCAGAAATTTTTAAACCACATGTATATTGTCGGACTAATTACAAGTCTAGCTACATAAAAGGCCAAAAACTCTTCTTAAGACTCGGGGAAAGCTACCCCAATCACATTGCTCATGATCACGATATGTACATGCAAAAAATGTTTTAAGAATTTTATGTACACATCTACATAATTGATCATGATAATGCTTTCATATTGATGAAAAAATGTGAGGATTGTTTAATAGCAATACATTTGATTATAATAGGATTTTCTATTAAAAAAAAAGGAATATGTTTCAGGCTTTTCTGCATCTGACAATAATTTATATGTATTTTATGTTAACACAAGCTCCAGGGTAAATAGTCACATTTTTACAAACATCCGTCTTGTGTCAGTGAAGTGTTGAAATTTATTAACCTTTAATAGCATATAATGAGAAATGTCAAACAAATGGCTAATGTACCAAGATATATACATGTGCATTGCAAAATATAAATTTATAGATGTACATCTGATCCACTATTTTTTGACAAATGTGCAGTGAACATATAATTTATCAAACAAATGTAATTAAATCAAAATTAAAATACAGACATTTCAGTTGGGTCTTTTTTTTAGTTTTTTATTACTCCTTAGTATCAACTAATTATCAAAACCACTCGGCCATCAAAAATATCCCCAAAAAACTAACACCACCACCCTAAAGCATGCAGGAACAACAGAAAATACTTACATTATTTGTTACATTTGTAGATGTACCATTTACTTGTGAGCCTACAAAAATACAGAAGATTAAATTAAAAAAAATACAGTATAGAAAATGTGAGCATATAATAATCCAGGTCCAGTTATTTGTTCATACAGTAAGTCTTCTGACTATAGTTCCACTGAAAAGGCCTAAGTATTTTTACAAATGTAATTTAATCTGAATACAGCAAACCTCAGTGTTTTTCTTGGTTGGGATAGTTCTGATTGTCAGAACGCTAGAGACTTGCTTGTTCTATAATTTTGAAAATGACATGGTACCTTTTTCAAAAAGGTGCTCTGAGGGTCCTCAATGCTCTTCAACTTCATACGTTATAAGGCCTTTTAACTTTTTTTATTCAAGCGTCACTGATAAGTATAAGGTAGACCAGCATGCCTGGTGTACACAATTACAACCCTGGTATCTTTGGTTTTTTTTTAAATGTATCACACCACAAAACATCTATGCCAAAAAAATTATTGTACATAAGAATGTAAATCCTTGCCAGTTACATGTAAATAAATATATTTCCTTTTATAGTAAGAGAGTCTGCTCTTTTCTGCTAGGTGATCATTAGTGACTTAGTCTCTGTGTATTCAAAAGACAGATCATTTAACATATGGATTTTTCCATTCATGTCCTCAAAAGCCTGGTAGTCCTGCCAGCAATTTTTGTTTCTTTTTTTTGTTGGTCTTATTTAATTATTTTGCAGAAAATTAGGTATTTTCAGTTGTACATTTTGTATAGATATTTTACAAACAAGTGATTCAGGAAAACTACAGGCTACCATGGCCCAATGGATAGATTTATTAAAAAATTTGAATCCTGTTTACTGAGTTTTGAGTCTGATTAAACCATGTTTACTTATCATGTCTGAAAGGTAAGAAATGAATGACATAATATGTTGAACTGGAAAGAACAGTCAGAGATATGGACAGGGTTTAGCGCTCACAAACAAGTTTAACCCCGCCACATTCTGTACGTGTTTGGCCTGAGTCAGGAGCCTGTAATTCACTGAGTAGTTGCTGTTGGTCCCTGTCTGTCATATTTGTTTTTTGGCAAATTATATTGTCATAAATTAGGCCATTAGCATGATTAGTTTTCTCGTTTGAATTTTTTTCACATTTTTTATGTCAGGGCCTTTTATAGCTATATAAGCAATTCAGCATAGCAAAAACCCCTACCATTAAATTTTTGTTTAAATCAAACAGTTTAATTTTGGACCCTTTAGACCCTGATGTGGACCAATTTGACAAATGGCCCCTTATTCCTAAGCGGATATGGCCATAACCCCCAAAATCAATCCAACCTTCATTTTAGGGTATGGAACCTTGTGGCACAGTTTCATACAGATCCATATATGTTTGCTTTTGGCCCCTTTTTCATTTGTTTTTGGACCAAAATTCTTAAATGGTAAGGGCCATTACCCCCAAAATCAATCCCAACTTTCCTTTTGTGGTATAGAACCTTGTGGTACTATTTCATAGAGATCTATACACTTATACTCAAGTTATTTATTGTCTAGAAACCAAATGTCTTCAGAGGATGATGACATTGTCATTATATGGCTGCAAATTTTTGTGGCCTTGTACAGTACCTGTTGATAGGGGTATACTTACTTCTCTCAGGAGTTGTAATATTTTTAACATTAGACATTCTACCATTAACACTAATTCCTTTTGCTCTGAAATAGTCATCAGCTGATCTGTCCAACACTAACATTTTTGTTTGGTCTCCACCAGCTTTAATCCTTTGTATCACTTGTTGATGTGAATCATCTTCCACATTTTCCCCGTTAACTTCAATAATTCTATCTCCATCCTTTAAACCACCTGCATCAGCTGGTGATCCAGCATCAATCTGACCAATAAACTGGCCTTTCCTGTCTCTTTCAGCATGTAAATTAAATCCATATCCCTGAAAATCTGGCCACTTTTTGATATGACACAAACGTGGATAATAATCCGGTGATATATCTTCCTCCTGATTCCTATCATTTGTGATTTCTTCATTAGGTTGTACACCATTGCTTACACCTAGAAATACATTGTAATAAATCATATGAATATACAAATTAACGAAAAGTGGGTATAAAAAAAATTTATAAATGTATATATATATTACAATGAGACATCGACCCAACAACACAAAAAGGTACATCTAGTGGTCAGTATACAGTCTAAAACAATAGAATATAGTGTCCATAGATAAAGTATACATAAACTAAGGTTTAAACCACTGTTGATGTTCCTGACATTGGACAAGCACATGAACATAAGGTTAGCTTAAGCTAAGTTTTTTTTATATCTTACTCCCATCTTTCAACCTCAGTCAGAGGAATAGTAAAAAGTACATGTACATGTAGTAGTCATGTATATAAATGATTGTACATGTACAGTGATAAACTGTTGAGACAGAGATAAGTCTCGTCGGTCAGCATAAAATTCAGAAAAAGACAATCTGATGGACAGCAACATGGTTTATTAATTCAGTTGCTGGACCATTATCTAGTGTGCAGGGCCTGAAAATAATCTGATATGTACTGATAGTAATGCCACTTTATACAAAATGTCATTGATCTACCACAAGCAAATCCTATCAAACAAACTTCAGAAGAAAACTTAACACTGAAAACTACTAATTAATTAAAAGTCACTGGACCATGTTCTAGGGGCAGGGCCTCAAAATAGTTGTCAAACTGAAACAGATAGTAATGTGACTTCATACAAAATATTATTGATCTATCACAAGTAGATTCTATCAAACTAACTTAAGCAGAAAACTTAACAATTGTTGACGCGGTCGTTGGCAGAACTGTCGCCGGAAAAGCAATCCCTATGCTTCGCTTTCCGCAACTTTCGCCACAGGAGTACAGAAAAGGCACTTGCAATATGGTATCAAAGCATGCTTGCTGTGACTGAAAGCAAGCTCAAAGTACTGCATCTACCATGTTTACTGATATGAAATCATGCCATCCAAATTAAAGAGTAACACATAGGAGATTGATGAGTTACAGTTGTTGCTTTGTGTTCAGCAGCAAATATCATAAATTAACATGTACATATTCAATAAATTTTGGTTCATAGAAGAATTAACACAATTCTTTTCTTCAGGGGCTTGGGAACTTGGTTGAAGTTGTTTAATAATAAGGTGTGTATGTATATGTGTACATAATCAGCTGGTGAAGGCAAGTGTGAAAAACTCACCACAAACACTTAATACTGACAACCACTTACAAATATCCTGTTCAAAGCTCTTAATATTAAGAAGATTAAGAAGTGAAATAAGTGGTCAATGAATAAATTGCTTGTACAAACAAACTACTCATACATGCAAATTAGTTACACCCAAACTATAGTAATAAATGTATATCAAGATATGCACTTTTGCTGCTGTGCATCATGCTTGTCAACAACTTGTTATGCATGCCTTTACACCAATCTTATTGTTCAAGTTACAAACAATGTATCCATACAGTTACCTGTAGACCATTTGATTTCAGATATTGATTCAAGTTCCTCAAGGTTTGGACATGTATACTGAAGTTGTAGTATAGGTCATAGATGGAGTAAGAGTCATATTTCTCCAAATAACTTTTTCCTATAAAATAATCTGTTGACACAGAGTAATGTCTCACCTTTATTGCCAATGAGACAACTGTCCATCAGAAATATAAGGACAAGGATGTTAACAACCATCCCTAGTCAATGCTAAAAGTCATACATATATATATAGTATATATGATATGTTTCTTACATGTATAAATGGACCAGACCACAGATGTTGATAAACCAATCTATGCATGGCTTCTTATTCTACACATACATGTACAATGACTTGAATGTAAAGTCTACACATGCAGGTGGCATTTAAACTTAAACAATAAATGTATTAAAAATTCCATGATACATGTACATACTGTGTATATACCTGTATAAAATTCAAACAAAATTATTCCATGATACATGTTTATCATGTACATACATGTACAGTGTATACATTGTATATACATGTATAAAATTCATACATGTACAAATCTGAACACACTTCAATTTGTACTTAGTACTAATAAGGATATACTGGGTTATAAAACTAGAAGTCTGTACTAGTACTATCTTCGATTCTGTAAAAACAAATAGAATACACATACTAAATGTTCATGTATTCTTTTAAGACAGCTTAAATTCTATTCTTATTACAAACACCTCCATATAATTCTCCACACATAAATCCATCAAAAAAGGTGTTGTATTGCCAAACATACAGATTAAAGACATAATTATGGCTGAATTGATAGAAAGTTACCTTTCAAAGGTAAATAACTTTTCAGCCAACAGGTAAATGGCTCATTTATAATCAAAATTCATTCATCCACAAAAAAATGTTATTCTTCAAAACATGAACTAAATACAAATGTTCAAAACAGCATTTAAATTTAGTTTATTTTATTTATTATGTTGATAAAATTTTAATCCTGTGTATGCTTGTTTTCAAACTTCATAACTTCTTCAACGAGGAAGAAAACAGTCAAGGTGTCTGATCAAAGACCGAATGTCAACTGAGGCATTTCTAAAATCCAAAGTATCATAAATTGGAACACATAAGTCACTCCTTAACATTTTAGTACTGTACATGTAAATAATGTATGAAAAAGTCTTTTCAACAATTAAATGTTACACAATTTACATTTTTATAAGTTCAATATGTATTTTCTACAGCATTGAATTGGTACATCTAAGGCCAAAAATAAAATTTAAATTGTTTGATGTTGCTTTAATACCTAGTCTACCCAACTAAAATGCAGCGTTTTCATCGTTTTCTTGTCTAAAACATGTAATTTGTGTTCTTGGCCCCAAAAAAATCAATACCTACATGTAAGTACCTACCCAACTATACAAGGCATGGGTAGGCAACATCAAACAAGGAATTTGTTAAGGGTGGCCTTAAAGGCTTTTACATTTGATTCATATCATTTCCATTACCAGAAAATAAAACTTTTTTACTACACAGTATACATGTACACTGATGTTTTATGTCATTACACACATTATGATCACACTGGACCCTACATTCTTAAACTGACAAAGTAAAGTGCTTGTACCTGCTTGAAATTGTATAACTTAGATGTACGTGTATGTATGTTTTTCTAGCCTACCAAAAGTATTATGTAAATTTTATTATTTATCACATTTATCTTAGCCATAATATATATGCAGATATGGAAATTATTCAAATTAAGATATTCATCCTTTAAACAAATGACTTAAAATTATATCATTTAAAACCTAGATGAAATAAATGTACTTTGAAGGAATGCTAGCAATTGTAATCAGCTCTATTATAGATCTTTTTACTAGGCTTACCTCTTGGCTGATTTAACAACTGTTTAACAATGGACATGTGTGAAGACACTGTAATCCCTTTAGATTTGTAGTGGTCATCACCTTCTCTGTCCAGAACTAACATTGTTGTGCAGTCACCACCTGCTTTTATTCTGGCTATCACCTGCTGATGTGTCTCATTTTCTATATTTGCTCCATTAACTTCAAGGATCCTGTCACCTTCTCTGAGACCTGCTTCTTCTGCTGGAGAATCTTCATCAATTTTGCCAATGAACTGTCCAACACGGTCACGTTCAGCATGCAAATTAAAGCCATAACCCTGAAAATCAGGCCATTTTGTTATTTTGCAGTTACGTGGTAAATGTTCTGAATCTAATTCCTCTTCTCTTTGGACTTCTATTTCACTGGTGGCAGCTGTGACTTGCTCTATCTCTGGTTCAGGCTCCTGTGGTTCTGGTTCTTGTGGCTCTGATCGATCTGACCTCTCTGATCTTTCAGACTTTCTATCTTCCTCTCCCCCAACAGAACTTCTTGGACTTGCTTGTGCATCATCTGTTAGAAAAATGTTGTTATATCAAAGATGTATTGATTAAACAAAATAAATATAAGGAGATGTGGTACCTTAACCAATGAGACAAGTACATTTATTATACTTCACATTAAAATGCAAGATTTTGATTGGCTAATACGAGGGAGACAATTTACTCTATCCCATGGCTGAGTGGTAGACAATTTTTTTTAATGTCACCCTCTCGTCCAGACCAATCAAAAATCGATAATTTAAATGATAATGAATTGAATTAACATTAAGTAATTAAAGACAATGCTTAAGTTCTACGTTTAGACTCAGATTTTATTTTATGACTGTCAAAATAAAAAAACAAAACTTCTTGCTTCACTTCTGTCGATTTTTCTAATACCTGTAGTGTTGTATGTATGTGACGTCATAGAAAATACTTTTAAATAAAATTCATCTATAAAAAAGAATAATAATAGGACATTCAGTATAATAAATTAAATAACACATAGCTGAGAGGGTGATAGAGCAGATTGGTACCCCTCGAAAAAGCATCGTCAACCTTGGCTTCGCAGCGGTTGACAATGTTTTCTCTGGGTAACAATCTGCTCCATCACCCTCTCAGCTATATGTTATTTATATAGGATACACCAGAGACCAAAGATCAAGAACTAGTACATTGTAAACAACTATAGGGCATTATAAGGGCTTCAAAATGAGCAAAATCTATACTGTACATGTATATAGTCAGCTATATAAGCTTTCCTTTTTTCCTTCATCAAACCTGTCACTACATATTTAACAGGTTGGGCTCAAGTCAGGAAAAGTGGGGTATTCCCTGTTTTCAGGGAACATCCCAGTTTTCTGGTGTTAAAAAACCCCAGTTTACAGGGACTTCCTTTTTCTATTTCAATTCATGGCATGATATTTACAAAAGCGCATGTTTTAACTGTATCAGTAGTATTTGTAAATACTTTAAGTATCTCAGGAACAACAAAACATGAATAAGTGAAGCCTTGTTTTTTCTAGAACTCAAAAACATACAAATCTTTTGTTTAGGAATCAGTTGATCAAGCTGCATGCTCCAGGTGTAACTGATCATAACTGAATTATGTTCACTTCTATTGAAATTTTCTATTCATTGAATTTAAATGCCTAAGTGATTAACTTATCTTTTTGTCTTCTCATAATTGATGATCAAGGTATGAATTGGTGAACAAAGGAATTGTTTTGTTGTGAGTTGAGCATCAAATAAGACTTGAAATTAGCTTGATTTTTGAACTTATAAAAACACTTGCTATCATATAACATTGTTATCACATGTAGAAGGTGCGCTTTTGTAGATTTCATACCATAAATTGACAAGGAAAAAAGAAGTCCCTGTTTACTGGAGTTTTTTAACACCAGAAAACTGGGGTGTTCCCTGAAAACAAGTAATACCCCAGTTTTCCTGACTTGAGCCCAACCTGTTTAACCTTAATCATTGTCTTTATTGTGATTACACAGTATCAGTGTTTTATTGCAATGTGGTACATGCTAACAGATCAACAACTGGTGCTATATCTGAATAGATTTTATAATAGAATTATTATGTATATTAAATGTGGTGCTAATTAAACTTTGGGGAAATTTTACAAGTAGGGTCCTAGCTATTAAAATATAAACATTCTTTAGTGAGAACTTTAAACATTAAGTCAAAGTTAAACTTTATATGTTTCTTGTCGCAAATTAAACAATAATGATATCTACAATGTCAATAAGTTAACAAAAATAATTATCTATCTCGCTCACCTGTATTATCTTGTTCATCGGGGCGTGGTCTTATAGAAGTTAAATACACAACTTCGGGCAGATCGCTGCGAACAACCTGTTTATTTTCCTTGTAGATCCTGTCAGTTTCTGCATCGACAACTAATAACTTAACCTCCTCTCCCCCAGCTTTTATACGAGTGACAACTTGTTGATGGTTTTCGTTGCCAATATTAACTCCATTGACTTCAACAATACGATCACTCTCCTTTAATCCTGCCGCTTCAGAAGGGGACCCTTCGTCTACCTTTCCAATATACTGCCCTGCTTTTCCCTTTTCAGCATGTAAATTAAAACCGTATCCTGGGAAAATATTGTCAGGCCACTTCGACAAATGACAAAGTCTTGGTTTATTTTCCTGATCACTCATTTTAGAACAAGTGAAACTTTACAAACTTTTGATAAAAATCTACAAATATCCCCACCTGCGAAAGTGTCAATGGGTAGGCGAGCAATATGGCGGATGACAGTAAGTCACATGACACTGAATGACCAATCAAATCGTTTTACACACTACCAGGTAAGTTCAACTGCAGGTAAAAAATAACATCAAAGTGCCGCTGTCAAATTTGTGTATTGACCAATTTGGAAGGCGGAAAGTGCCGCTGTCAAATTTGTGTATTGACCAGTTTGGAAGGAGGGGGAAAGACCGCGCTCTTAAGGAATAGTCAAGGTAGTGGCTTGAGAAAGCAAAACTAAAACATACCGATTTTGTGTCATGGATTAATACCTCCATATCCTTTGTTTTTCTCTCAGGTTTTTCTATTCTCCTAATTTCTTTTCTATCCTCCTTTGTTGAGTTTGTAAAGTGCTGAGTGGAAAATAAATATTGAATTAAATTGTGGAGGTCTTGATTCATAAGTATTAGGGTTATCTTGAAATATTCAAGGACCTCCTGGAATAACATTTCACTGAAGATTTTTGATATCGTCGGAATTATGGAGTCATGAAATATTTTACAGGAGGTTCTCAAGGATTTATGGATATCCTGAATTCGAAGCATGGAGGTCCTGATATATTTCAAGGATTCTTTCTGTAATACATTATTTTTGACTAAATCTGCTCCTGGCATTACGAAGGAACAAATCTTACTTTGTAAAAACAATACACTGATATAAAAATAAGTTCTTTGGAGCGGATATCAGCAAGATATGCTTTTTGATTAACAACGCATTTGTTGGTCGGCAATCTATGGGAATGAAATTTGCTCCTCTTCTATCCAACTTATTCTTTATTATTATTATAATTCAGATTTCATATATAGAGACTTCTCACTGACAGAAATCGGCGGAAAAAGCTAGGACCATCGCGATCCTTTTACTTCGCGTTCCGTTATATTAATGATGTTCTTCCATGAATATTTCAAAGTTTGTTTATCATGTAGATTACATCTACACTTGAACATTACACAGACTATACAAAAGATACATTTATGTCTGCGTCATATACCTACATCTATACATCTTGACCTTGAAGGTCAGTTTAGAACAATAAACTTTACGTCAAATGCGATAACTTAGATTTAAATATTACCATTATGAGCTTCCAATTTTGTTACTACGAATTTCAAACAGCAACTGCATATGGAATAGTATATCTATATATAGGCATAACTCAGCTAACGAAAGCTATGTTTTATATAGCATAGTTGGACTAGGGCGCAATAATTAATACTATGGAGATGGACACAGTGCAGGCGGTGTTCCCATGATGTCTCAGATGCTGAACTTGGCCCGGTAGGGAAGAACAAAAATTGCTAAGGCAAATTTGAAGATCTAACATTGTTGGACTAAATTTAAGATGAAGTATATATATATATATACAAATTATGGTGTTAGCCGTGTATAACCACAGGTTATCCTACGGAAAACGTCTGTCGTAAAGAAATCACATATTTAGACATATATAAAAAAAATAATTTAAATTGATGTGACCGGACATAGTAAGTATAACTATCATCCTTTACGACAAACAAAAACAGCTGATCTGCATGGTATACCATCTATACTTGCCACTATATTTCATGTACTGTGTTCAAGTATACAACCATAGATAAAGCCTACGAGGAAAGGCATTACTCGACTAACGAACGCTATATTTTTTATAGCCTACACTGTTGGTCGAGTGGTCTAGGGCGCTGACCACAATGATGGCGGTGTTGCCAAAATTTGCTAACGCAAATTTGCAAATGTATCATTGTTGGGCCAAATTTGAGTCGGAGTATTCATACATTAAGATATTAGCCCTAGGCCTGTATAACCACAGGTTATCCTATGCATGGAGAACGTCTGTCGTAAAGTTGTCACATTTTTAGACATACATATATATCATAGGTTTGAACGTTGTTTTCAATTTAGACTTATATATATATATAGCGGTCTAAATACAGCACAAACAACATTTTCCAAAAGACCAAAAAAGTGAAAAAGTATATTTTAACAAAACGCATTTGACTAGCAGGTCGAACAACGGGTGTTCTTAAACCCTGCTGACTGCCATGGCGATTGCCAAATAAACGGATCACAGATGTAACACAATGGATCTTAATTATATTAATTTAATACCAAACAGAAAACAATAAACTTGCGAAAAAGATGGTATACCGCAAACATGAGGTGCAAAAATTTGTACACCATATCCGGATTTCGACACTTAATGTCTCTTCAGTGATGTTAGGAATTGAAACGGTATTTGGAAGGCCATATAATTTACCTCAATTTGGGATTGACTCTTGAATTTTGAAGAGTCGAAATAGGATGAACGGATCATATAAACCCGAAGGCAAATACAATAACGAAGAAATATAAACAAGTCTAAATTGAAAACAACGTTCAAACCTATGATTGCGTTGGATAAAAACCGCAATTTTTCTACGTGTGCATGCAAAACAAATTTATCCAACGCAATAATAGGTATTGAGAATATTGTAGGTTTCCCTACTGCAACAGACACCAAGGGGCGGTGCTCAAGGAGCTGTGTTATTTACACAGTCCTCCTCGTGTCTGAAGCAGACAAAAGAGCCACATTATTAACAATTTTTCGAAATAAATTTACCAGCAGCAGTGAGAAATGGCTTATCTTCTGTGTTCATAAGCCATATCAGTTTATCTCTTGCGTTAAGAGTTAAAAAAAAATTGGGCAACTTTTAGTTATTTCTTGAAATAGATGAATGCGGTCATCATTAAATTTAACACATTGGAATAGAAAATAATATTCATCCTCCACATCTCCGGAGTTACAACGAGTACAAGTTCTGTCATTTAGGAATCTAGAGTAACAAATCTAGAGAGAATGGTAACGGATAATGATACAAAAGAAAAGAAAAAAGAAACAAAAAAGAAACCGACCCGTTTCATATTTAAAAGACATGGATGGTTTCGTTTTCTATTAAAGTAATTATTGAAAATGTTTTCTTTTGGAAGTCGGAGCAGATCTTTAATTTAAGATTAGTATACAGAAACTGTTGTACAGATGAAAAAAAAATACGGATCTTTTACTAACAATTATAATGCTTTCTATATGTTTTTTTGTTAATGTTTTTTTTATTGATAATTTTTATATTTTAAGTATGGACAACGCGATGAAAACTGTATAATGTGTCAGGTGAGGGTGACATGTCTTCGTGTAGACTGTTACCATGTCAACTAGCATGTTAAAAATCCGACTGAGAGTGTCGGTCTAGTACAAAGCAGGTTTATATTCATATCACATTTACATGTTGCCGTTCTGAATATACATTTGACTTACCACTGGAGGTTAAACAGTTATCAATCAATCAATTAATCAGCCAATCAATCAATCAATCTTTCATCAAATTCTTGAGTATTTGATTGCGAGAGAAAAACAAAGATAACGAGGGTCATTATTCATCAGCACAATAAAAGTCGCCACTTTGTTTATCGCTAGAGATACAATTATTGCAGTAAAATTATTAAATCAACTTTACTGAAATATATATTTAAGATTAACACCAGATAATTAGTTATTCTATGTCTTAGTCTATAGTTAAAAAGTTCGCCTCAATCCTATAGAAAGTCCATCAATAACAGCTACAATTAATATTAAAATCATGTAAAAAATATTGTAAAGCTTTAATAACATCTAATCAGTGACCCCAGTCAATGGAAATATGAATGGAACAATTATTTTTACAGCGGATGACCGTGAGAGCATTCCGGTGTTATGTTGCCACAGACATTTCTACCGTCCACGTGACTTGCGTTTTTGACTGATAACCGAACGTATTCCGTATAATTACGCGGATATTATCGAAAGCAAAATAACATTCCTTATCGTTTGTTATATATTAATTTCATCAATAAATATTCATGAAAATAAATTTTAAGAACATAGATAAATGATATGAAAATGTTTTGTCGTGAGAAATATATATATCAATAACAAATCAAGAATACCGAAAATTTGTGTTAACACATGCGGAAGAATATCTCAAGAACGTTTTGCAACAAACGCGGGAAAATATGAATGTCTACTCAAATCCAATCTTTTAGAAAAACGAATTATTACAGAAGAGTGTGCACCATGCACTTGCACTGCACTATCATTAGAATAGTGGAATATATATAATGATATAAAAATAGATGAAAAATATATATGACTGTTTTACAAATATTAATATAATATAGAGCATACTGATAACAAATGATTTTATCACTACATTATAATAGTTATAACGGTGAGGTTGAATTCCCTGTCATTTATTCATCATCCACACACGAACTTGTATCAGAAAAAAATATATCTATGTACCTTAACCTAACTTTTAGGTGTAGAGATGTGATTTTTTTTTTCTGAGACAAGAGCTTGTGACCATCCACCAGAACTTGCGGTCATCCGATGTTAAGTACTTAAGTACTTTGACTAATGGACGTTTGGGCCTTACACGAGGGTCTGTATGGGTGTCCTCTGTTTCTGTTTTCTTTAATTATTTAGGTCATTTTTCTGTTTTCTTTATATTTTTTGCCAATTATTCTCTATTCTTTATATTTGTGCACCCCATTATTCTCTATTCTATATATTTAAGCACCCCACTGTTCTCTATTCTTTATTTTTTGCCCTATTTTTCTTTATTCTTTTCCCATTGTTCTCTATTCTGTAAACCCCATCCAGACCCTCTTATACTGTTACTTGCAGGCTGTTCTAAGCCAGGAAATGCTAGAATATGGACAACGGGGGATGACTCAATGAAATTCCGTACCTAATTTAGTAAAACCCAGAAACCGTATGCTATTGGCTATTTTATTTATAATATATTGTTACTATTGAAAAACATATTAAATCTTAAATATTCACGCTTGTACATAACGATTTCTATGAATCTCTTAATACCGACCCAATCTGTCTTTATTTCCATGATACTGTTTCCTCTGAAATTGCATAAGCCTTCCTAAGTTACCACGAATGTTTAGTGAAAGTTTTAAATTATCATATCCAAATTTTAATTTCGAAACA